AGATAAAGTGGACAAATTGGAAAAATCTGGAGTTTATAAGCTGAAGTGTCCGGAGTGTAATAGTGTTTATGTGGGACAATGTGGTCAAAATTTCTCAAAACGGTATGCTGAACATGAAAGGTCCTTCAGACTAGATAAAAATGATTTGACGTTTTCAAACCATTCCTTGACATGCAACCACAAGTTCCCGAATCTAAACGATACGGAAATTTCGCACTATGCAAGGAAGGGTTGCAAACTCAATTATTTGGAATCCTTGGAAATTTATAAGTATAAACATTGCAGGTGCAATCTGTTAAATGATAAAATCGATCTAGTTTACTCACCGGTTTTCAAATTAGCATATCCCCATTGCCACAAGTAAACAACATTCAGGTACCCAATTAAGCTGAGTACCTATGTTTTTACCTACAGTGGTGTTATATATGGGCTAATGTAATCGATCATTTTTAGTTTAATGTATACGTTTGAAAATGTCCTTATAGGACGAAACTGCAGTAACGTTGGTTACAAATAAAAGTGGTAAAAAACATAGAAACTTTCAATTCTCTTTTCTTCATCACAATATAGTGTTTTTTGAATTTGTTTGAAAAAAAAAAACACAACTTGATATTTCTATTTCTATATTTATATTGCGGAAAATCCTATATCAGTGAAATTATGAGAAATTGAAACTTCGCCTTGCCGAGCACAAGAAACAAACACAGCGAAGGGAAGATAATAGCAGAGCATGTTTGGACCCATCAACATAACATCGACTGGTCCCAAGCTGAGATCATACACAGGGAGGAACATTGGTTTAGGAATTGCAGATTAATTCATTGCTAGAAAACCAATCCTGGGCTTTTAAAATTTCCCTGTGAGCCAGGTCTACTGTGGATGTAACATTCTTACCACTAACCAGTAGTGTAGTGTCATCCGCATACATTACAAAATTTCCTTCAAAGTCATTGACATAAATTATATAAAGTAGAGGTCCCAAAATAGAGGCTTGTGGTACTCAAATAGTATACTTTAAACGTTTAGATTGTACCTGTACCTGACTGAATGAGTTTTCATTACTACTTTTTACAAGGACTTTTAATGTTTTCCACATCGTCTGAGAATTGTTTCTATATCTGTCAATTTTATTCCAGTAATTATTTTCTTTTTTCCTTTTTAACATGTCCACAACTTCATTTCTGAGTATTTTAAAGCTATGCTATTTGAGTACTTTTCCAGTTGGTGAAGATTCAATAAATGATTTATAGGCTTTATCTCTTTCCTTGATTTTACTATTTACTTCATTATCAAACCATGGTACACTATTTTTGAATTGACATATTCTTAATGGTGCTATATTATTGATAACTGCAGAACAATTATCAATGATTTCTTAATAAATAAAATTTACATCTACTGAACTCGATGCCCATTCGCATGAAATCAAATTCGTTTTTATTTTATCAAGATGTAATATTGTTTTGTTTCAATGGCTTTAATAGGAAGTTGACTGATATTACCATATGATTTGTGATATTGTGGAATAAGTGAACGTTGGTTATAATATCATTTTGATTTGATATAACATAATCAATTAATGTTTCAGATTCTAATGTGATATGTGTTGGTTCGGTTACAAATTGCTTCAATCCATATGTTGAGAATAAAGTCTTGGGTTTATTTACATAGAATGCATTTTCTGAGAAATTCAAATTAAAATTTCCCGCTAGTAAAAAACTATTATTTCCTAACATAATGTCATCAATGATCTTTTCAAGATGTTCCAAAAAAGTAGCATCTGAACTCGATGGGGAATGATATAAACAACCAATAAACCATTTTGAAGATTTGAAATAAATTTTTAGAATTGTACACCAAAAATTGCCATCAAGCACAAACGATTTATAACTAGAAAAATTAATATTTCTTTGAATATATAGAACTACTCCTCCAGTGTAACGACTATTTGAGTCGCAACGCACACAATTATACTGATCCATTATTATTTCTGTATCTTCGATATCTAGTGTCGTCCTAGTTTCACTTAGCAGTAATACTTTAGGTTTGTATCGGAACAATACATCATGAATTTCATCCTTGTGTTTGATTATACTTTGTACATTCATGTAAATAACATCAGAGCTTAAACGTACAATTATACTGATCCATTATTATTTCTGAATCTTCAATATCCAGTGTTGTCCTAATTTCACTTAGCAGTAATACTTTAGGTTTGTATCGGAACAATACATCATGAATTTCATCCTTGTGTTTGATTACACTTTGTGCATTCATGTAAATAACATCAGAGCTTAACTGTAAATCAGGATTTCTTACAAGTTTTCTTTGAATTTGAATATTATTTTTATCGACAATTGTTGGCTTGTTATTTATAAATTTAATAGTTTTTGTATTATCTCCACTTGCAACAATAGTTTCCAGTTTTGTTTTAATTTTACGGTAATAATCTCTTTGGGAAATGGTTTGGTCTCCAGAGATCTTGATGTTAGAATGCTCATCAATTTTCTATTTTTGAGGACGTGTTTAGCGACATCTGGTGATTCCAGAATAACTTTTATGGGCCTGTTCTTGTTAGGCATGGTTTTACCCAATCTGAAAAGTTTTATGTTATCCATGTTCAAGTTAAAATTTTGAAGTACATTAGTGATTATTTTCTTCTTCTCGGCAACTGTTTCATCCTTATTTTGTAAGGCGCATTCTTCAATGTTATAGAGAATAATATTTTTGGCTCGATTTTGTTTGTCTATCATTTCGCTAATTATATCTTCTTTTTCAAGTCATGTGGAATCTATCTCCTTAGATTTAAGTGTTTCGACTTCTTTTTTCAGTGTTGTTATTTCACCTTCAAATAGGGAAATGTTTCTTAATAATTATGGTACTTGTTTGAAGGAAGTTGTACAATCATCACAAAAAAAACATAGACCATTTTTGCAACTCAAGAACTTTTAATTCCGAAGCAGTTAGTTTGGAGCAAGTTTTAGTCGTATGGAAAGTGATTCTGCAACTGTCGCATCGAAGAAAGTCATCATTTTCATAGTCAATTGAACTTTTACATGTGGAACAGGAGACTGCCATTATGGAAATAGTATCCCTCTCTAAAATTCTCAGGTGAACTACTGTTTGCTGTTTACTGTTTTTATTTCCTTACTTCCAATCACTGATGTTTTTACTTGGTCACTTTTTTCAGTCCTTACCACTGGAATGTGTTTTAATTTTTATACTTTAATAACGTTTATATCACTTTCAAACTGATGAGTTGGTTCACATTTATAGTTGTTTGATGCACTGAATTATGTGAATTGATATATTTTTAGATTATGACTTACTTCAGAGTGACTTACGAGCAATAACTGACACGCATTGAAGAGAAACCAGAGTCAAATATGAAGCTACGTTCTTTGAAAAAATTCACTTATAGGACTTTTGATGACATCAATCTAAACAGTATTCAAAGAGATCTTGAAAATTTTCCTTGGGATAATATTTACTATATGGAATCAATTGATTAAAATGAACTTTATCAATAATAATATTTTGTTATCGGCTGATATACATGCACCACAGAAAATCTCGCATTTTGCGGAAAAGAAAAAAAATTACACCCCATAGATTACTAATATTAGATTGATGCAAAACTGCGTGACAAAGCTCTCATTAGGTAGAGATGGAATCGACAGCCTGTTCATCTCAATTATTAGACAGTTGAGAAATTTCACTTCTTCCTCCATTAGAAGAAAAAAAAAAGCATATTTAGAGCACATACTTCAGAATTCTCATAGCAAACAACAATGGCAGAGATTCGAGAAATTGAGTATTATAAAAAGTAAGTATATTGAATTACCTGATAATCTTACAGTTGTTCATCAGCACTGTGTAGTATTTCTGATGATAAATTAAGGGCACTTGATAATAATGAAATGTGTGCTCTGATACTATTTCATTACTCTAAGACATTTGATACTTTAAAACATGATATTCTTCTCTCTATTTTACACTTTACTGGATTTTCAGCAAGCACTTTTTCAATTACTGAGTTCTATCTATCTGGTAGGCCGCACCAGCTACATATCTACACTAGTACCTTCTGTCTTCATCCTGACAAACTGTAAATACCATTTTAATGCAGATGACATAGCTATATCTTTCTTTCGAATTTTGTGATCTATCGGAAGCAATGAACTTGAATCAATTACTAACCCTTACGAATTAATTCAACTGAATCTGTTGCACTCCCATTTGGAACTGACGAGGAGGTGAGCCCAGCAAAAAATATAATGACAATAAGGGTAGGAGGTATTCTACTTTGAGGCAACTCAAGTAATACAATAAAGGTATTCCGATATCAGAAAAAAGTAATTCCTATTTTAGTAAATGTGGGACACAAAGATCACTGTCATCAACACTTTATTCAGCTTGGTATTATGCTGGTGGCTTCATTATACATATACATCGTTTTGTTAGAGGTACATAAAAACATAGACAAATTTGGAAAACACTCCGATATACATCAATATAACACAATATCTGCAGGTCTGTTGAATCCCCAACGGCACAGACTAGTTGTTTGCAACAAAAATTCTCTGAACCTTAATTTGTATAATGTTCTCGATTAACGAGTAGAAACATTGGAATTTAATAAATTTGAAACAGTCATCAAAAAGTTTCTCCTCAAAAAATGTTCCTACAATATAATGGAATATTTGAACCGAGCAAGTTTATTTAAATGTCTATATTAAATTATCTTTCACCATCAAATGATTATTTGGTCAGCCAGTAGTTATTTTCAAAAACTAATTCAGTATGTTATTTATATGTACACCTTTTATGTGTTTTAACAATTAATTTTTATTGCAATATTTTTTTTATGTACTCTGCCATAAATGTATTTATATGTGACATGGTTAATTAAACTCTACTCTCCACTCTATGGTAAGTCATTATTTCAGTAATTGTATTACGTTGTATATATAATCCATAATTAGAGCTGAAATAAATACCTTGTATCGCTAACTACCTCTTTTGGTGTAAAATGCACAACTACTGATGCCAAATCCTCGTCACATTTGGCAGAGTCCTGATGCCTTTTTATTGCTTCACTGCTCAGTAGAGAATCGATATACTCCAAAGTGGGACAATCTACAACTGAAATACAATTTTTTTACAATGATATTGAAGTATTTTGCTGATGTATCATATCAAATTCAAGGACTAAATTGCAAGTGCTAAGTTGATTTGAAATTTGTAGTTGAAATAGGTAATAGGAATTTAAAAAACAATTGAAAACAGAAGAAAGATTAAAAATGTAGACATATTGAAAACTTATTTTCAATTACTCCATTCGAGATTTAAAGTTTTTTCAAAGTTTGAAAGTTTTATAAATAGTGCTGCTGCTATTTCAATTTCAATTCAATTTTCAATTTATTCAACTCAATTCTAAAGTATAACTAACTATACATATAAAATAATTCATATTGTATAATTCATTCTAAATGAGTAAATGACACCTAGGCATACAAATGCCTGTATTGTGCTTATTCACTCATTCATGAACAAAATTTAAAGTTTACATATGATGCACTGTTTGGAACCTTTAGTGTAGTAATGAATATTACTGGAGTTTTTTCTCAACACCAAATCGTTATTTTGAACACCTCGACACGTGTTTCGATCACCAAGTGATCATCTTCAAAGAGGAAGATTAAAACTGTTTTAATCTTCCTCTTTTAAGATGATCAATTTAGTTGTCCTAACGGCACCTCCTACATATTTAAAAGTTCGGTTCTCCTATTTTACTTCATCTATGTGAGCATGGCTTCATTCCTATTGGTTGGACTAATCGACCTGATTCGTGTACAGTTTAGTGTAAGTAGCCAGACTTCGTTTCTGTCAATTACCTCTTTCAACACAGAGACAGACCGTTTCAACTGAAAAGACGAGGAAATTAAGTCTGACTACTTACTCTAAACTGTACAGGAATCTAGCCAATAAGCTCAACCGCTAGAAATGAAATAATGTCCACCACCGATGAAATAAAACCAAAGACCTGAAGTCTGAACTATAACTATAAAATTAATCACATATACAAAAGGTATTTATTACAATGGATGTAAACTTTTCAACAAGCTACCTAATTTGATTAAAGAATGCAAATAATCCGTTAGGTTCAAACAAGAAACTAAAGAACTCTTTTTTACGAAAACACACTACAGTGTTGAGTGATTTCTAACTGACTTAATTTTTATTTTTTATGTTTATTTATATAAAAAGATGTAATTGTGACAACTAATTCAGCAGGTAAATTTCTGTATATAACATGTAATTCCTACTTCTCTGCTCACACCTGACATGTTTGTTTTTATTCACTTTTTATTTTATTCACTGTATAACTTTCTTAATTCAATTCAATTTATTCAAATCAGTTGTGAAGTACAACTATACATATAAAATAATTCTTATTGTATAATTCATTCTGAATGAGTAAATGACACCTAGGCATAATACAAATGTCAGTATTGTGCTTATTCACTCATTCATGAACAAAATTTGAAGTGTACAATAAATATTAATTTGACATTTAGTGATTAGTACACACTAGTAGAAAATAGATGAATACATAGAAAACATAGAAAGAGGGGATGTCGGGAAAAAAACGATGATTTTTCAAGGCAGTGTTAACAGCTATATTGATTTCTTCTTCAAAAAATATTAATTATTACTGGATTTTCGATATGACAGCTTTGAGTTTATTTATATTATTGATATTATTCAGGTTTATTGGAAGCATGTTGAATAGTTCTGGACAAAAGAAAAAGACGAATCTCTGTGTATGACTTTTTCTGTAAATTGTTATTTGGATATTCAAGTTTTCTGAGAATCTTTTGCGTCTGGGTATATTAGTTCTATATCTGTTAATGTTTGAGAACATCCATATTAAACACTGGTAGCTGTACAGACATCTTACGTTTAATAACTTTATTTCCTTGTAAAGTTTTTCCGTTGAGAAGCGCCAATTTCTTTTCAATACTATTTTGTGCAACTAGGTTTATGTAGATACAATTCTATATTACTTGGCTGAGTACTCAAATTCAGTGAAAAAGTCATGAATTTGGTTTTTTTGACATTCAAGCTCAGTAAATTATCGTTTAACCACATCAGTACTTTCTGCAGTTCTATTTCTGCAGTATGTAAAACATCATGCCATGTTTCACCTTTTAATATTAAGGCTGTATCATCAGCAGAGCAAACTATGTGCCCCTGAAATTCTCTGATCTGTGTAATACTGTTCATGTAAGCAAAGAACAGAATTGGTCCCAAAACTGTTCCCTGGGGCACACCAACAGATATATTCAACTGCTTACTGATTTCATTACCGATTTTTACTCTCTGTGTCCGCTGTGGTAAATAACTTTGCACCAACTGTAAAGAGTTTCCCCGTATGCCATATCCAAAGAGTTTTCTCAGTAGTATGTCACGTGACACAGTGCCGAATACTTTTGCAAGGTCAATAAAAACCGCTAGGCATTTCGACGTTTCCAAGATGAAAAAAAAATGTCAAGAGCTCTATTTTATTTGAAGGATAAAGAACTGAATTTAACACAATTAAAGTCAAATGAGATCATTCAATTCCACCAAGATTTGGAAATGAAATTAATAATTTGATTAAATCAATATTGATAATAAATTATTAGTTATGTTTAATGATGCAAGCAATAAAGGAATACTGAACATATGAATACTAATTCCTTTTAGATGAAATATTAACAAAAAAAGAATTATTAAATGCATACCAACGAAAACAGGACCTGGATCATCTGGTTCACAAACATTTTTTTAGGAAACAACAAACTGGTGAGACGATAGAACAGTTTATAACTAACTTGAAAAATAAAGCCCGTTCGTGTGAGTTTGATTAATTGAAAGATAGTCTCATTAAGGATGTGGTGATAAAATTTCGTTTGGCAGTAGAACATGATGTCTAGTTCAAGAGCAGGTTATAGGGAATCCAGTTTGGAAATTGAAGCTGTTTATAGAGGACATATTTCGAAACCCTCTTCAAGGCAACAACAAAATGACCGGAGCCCAGATTCAAATCAGCAGCAAAGCAGTCGGCAGTAAGCGCAACAACAAAGTGCGCGTGGTTCACGCTTTAATTCATATTCGGTTGCAAGGTTTCAATGGCAGGTATCAAATACATTAAGGAAAAACAGTGGTGTTTGCTATAAGTGCGGGAATCAACATGGTAAAAATCAGTGCCCAGCTTTTGGGAAAAAGTGTCGAGATTGTGGTGTCAATAATCACTTTGCAAAAATGTGCAAAAAGAAAACTGTTAACCAGGTCAACATAGATGGAGATCAGTCTGACGTGGATGTTGGCGAAGATAACTATGTTTTCGTTTAGGGTATCGGAAGCAGTCCTGAAAACAATGATAGCTCTTGGTATGTGACTCTTTGTCTCAATAAGAAACATATGTAAAATTTTAAATGAATACAGGAGCACAAGCTAATTTAATTTCAATAGATAAGTTGAAACCTTTAAATTTACTTAATAATTTCATAATAGACTTAAATATAAAATTAAAATCATACACGAACAATTTTCTACCAGTGATAGTGATAGTGACAATTGTATATTAGGAATTGACGCATGCTAGAAATTAAATTTAATTAAACACGTAGATGTAACTGAACGTAACTGAAAAGTAATTATAAAATTCAATTGAAAGAGGACGTCAGTCCAGGTGTTCATGCAACACGAAAAATTCCAATATCTTTATACACGCGATTTAAACAAATTTTGGCCGAACTGGAGAAATCAAAAATAATAAGAAAGATAGAGGAACCCACTGACTGGCCGAACTCTATTGTAATTATCAGAAAAAACGATGGTAAATTGAGAATTTGCTTAGATCCTCGGGATTTCAATTTGGCCATCAAACGTGAACATTTTCAGTTGCCATCAATTAAGCAAATTAGATGTCAATAGTGGATTCTGGCAGATTGAGTTGGATGAAGACAGTGCGAAACTATGCACTTTTAGTCCAGTCATTATAGTAAGTTCACCTCGGAATTCGAGATACCCAGCTGTAAGTCTGTAAATACTTGTATATTGAAACCCTAAAAGTTGTCTCAAAACCTACATATGGTAGGGTGTAAGCAACTATTAAATTTCAAGGTCAAAGGTAAAAACCGATTTTTGTGAACTTTGACCTTGAAATTTAATAGTTGCTTACACCCTACCATATGTAAGTTTTGAGACAACTTTCAGGGTGTCAATATACAAGTATTTACAGACTTACAGCTGGGTATCTCGAATTCCGAGATTCTTACCTAATTTAAGCTTAAATGACTGGATTATTTCGGTACGCCGTTTGGGCGCTATTGTTTTCCAAGAATGCCATACGGAATTCGATCTGCTCCTGAAGTGTTTCACAAACGGTTCAAAAACGTTTTTGATATGGAAGGGGTCAAACTCTATCTTAGATGACATTATAGTTTGGGAAAAAAGTAAAACTGAGCACGATGATCGTTTGAAGCAAGTATTTGAAAAAGCTAGCTTAAATAAAATAACTATCAATAAAAACAAGTGTAAATTTACTCTTATAGAAATCACTTTTATGGAACATATAATAACAAAATATGGTTATGTCCGGATAAAATTGGAGTTATAAAAATATGCCACAACCTTAAAATAAGAAAGAAGTGCAAACATTCCTTCGAATGGTCATATGTTGGTCGATTTATACCAAATTTGTCAAATTTAATTCTCCATTGAGGGATCTTATTAAAAAAGATTTCGTTTTTCAGTGGACAGAAAGGCATACAAAAAGTTTGAAAAATTGAAAAAAATATTGACTGAAAGTACCGTACTACTATGGTGTCAGTAAGCCGGTGGTTTTTTTCACTAGATGCATCAAAAAAAGACCTAGCAGCTACCTTATTATGAAACAATTTACCGTGTACATTCGCATCTCAAGCCTTAACCGAAACCCAACAAAGATGGGCTCAAATTGAAAAAGAGTTGGTAGCGATTTTGTATGGTTGTGAAAATTTTTCACGAATATTTATATGGACGTAACTTCGTTGTGGAAAGCGATCACAGTCTTTTACTTGGTATTTTAAAAAAACCATTATATGCCTATCCTGCCCGACTCCAAAGGATGGTATTACAGCTATAGAAGTATGATTTTAAATTAATTTTCAAGCCTGGTAAAGAGTTGTTTGTGGCTGATGCTTTGTCACGAGCATGTGACAAAAATAAAAGGAATAACGATAATTTTTTGACAATAATGTAGATGTTTGTGTTTTTGATAATGCTTGTCAAATTACAGATAGTAACTTTTTCAAACTTGTTAAGTAAACAACTGAGGATAATGGATAGAATCTTTTTAAATAAGTTCATAAAAAAAATGGTTCGCCATGTACAATTAAAAAAGTGCCTGAAACGGTTAAAGAATACTGTTATAGATCATGCCCGAAAGAAAGTAACGCCGGCCGCCATTGGTAACCATAAACCAAACGTAACGTAGCTGAGAGCGTGGGAATGCCCAATGTTTCTTGCCGCTCGAGAAGCAGCAAGAAACATGTTACCGATGTCGATGGAACTTCGGCGAAAATTCCACGATATTCCGATTGCGATATTTAAACGCTGACTGCAAGCGTATTCGGACAGTCAGCGACCTACATAACGCACTAAACGGGGATACCCCAGATTCCGAGAGAGACACAAACACAGGAGGCCAACGAAGCAGAACCAAAAAAGACCACCCCCGAGAGTCGCTGTCAGGCGGCTTCGGTAAGTATAAAAATTTCTCAACCAGACCTCATATTGATCTCATTTTCAGATTCACTGAGCACCAACACTTGCTCGTGACTAAAAAGACACTCGTCTCCGGTTAGTTTTTGGGGAACCCATGCAATAATTCAGTTAGGAAAGTCATGATAAAACAATTCAATAGATCAGAAAGTAAAAGCACCTAGAGGCTGACTTTAGACCAAAGAAGGTCAGATGTCAATCTTGCTGAAGTGCCCATCAGATTCAGAGAAAATCAAGGCAGTGCAAGAATGGCCAACACCGAAGAGCAAGCACGACGTAAAAGCTTCCTTGGACTCTTTAGCTATTACCGGCGTTCCGTGAAGGACTTTGGAAAAATCGCCAGACCGCTGCATAGCTTAACTGAGAAGAAAACACATTTCGTTTGGTCCCCAGACTGCAAACAAGCATTTGCTACCCTGAAGAGACATTTGACCAGCGCATCGATCCGCGCATACCCAAAGGAGGAGGGCTTGTTTATACTGGATGCATCCCAAACATGGAATAGGACAATTTGAGGAATCATGTGACCACGGTATGGTACGGTTGTTAAGAGCCTCTGAGGGTGACATTACCTTCCTGACGAGGCAAGACATCATCGTAGCTCAGAAAGAGGATCCCGTCTTGAAAACTGTGCGAGAATGGAAGGAGTGAGACTGGAATGGCAAGATATTTCCAAGCACGACCAGCAGGAAAAGGGTTACTGGCTTCAATGGGACTCCATGAGCATTTGAGATGACCTACTCACTCGGAAATGGGAAAGCCCGGATGGAAGAACCCATAAATTCCAGATGATTCTTCCTAAGATGTGTATCCCGTGTATCCTCGAATAGCTACACGATGGTCGTACTGGATGGCATTTCGGAGTAAATAGAACTCTAGCGAGAGTTACTATCGGGTCAATTGCCGTCGAGACGTGGAAGAATGGTGTAAGCGCTGTGACCTGTACTCTTTGAGAAAGGCTCCGAAGACAAGGCTGAGTGGAAAGTTGAAGCAGTACCTCAGTGGGTGCCCTTTCGAGAGAATCGCTGTCGACATTTTGGGACCACTCCCTATGACCACATCTGGTAACAAGTACCTTATGGTTGTGATGGACTACTTTTCCAAATGGCCTGAAGTAGTAGCCTTACCCAACCAAGAGACTAAAACGGTGGCAGAAGCCCTGTTGCAAAACTAATTGCCAGACATGGCGTACCCCAAGAACTACACTCGGATCAGGGCCGCAACTTCGAATCGGATTTATGGAAGGAAATGATGACTCTGTTGGGAATAAAGAAGACAAGAACAACTGCTCTTCACCCACAATCAATAACTATTTCTCGATGTTTGTCTCCGAAATCCAAAGACACTGGGATAAATGGGTTCCTCTTTTTCTGTTGGCATACAGGAGCTCCCAACATGACGCGACAGGTTATACACCATCCATGTTGTTAACTGGTAGGGAACTGAAGCTTCCGATAGATGTATTGTATGGCAGTCCTTTCGATGAATCTCAAGAGGTACCTCTTACAGAGTATGTGAATGACCTTAGGAGGGCGATGCAGTGTGGCTCTACCAACCCCAACGTCGGAAAGGTTTGTGCCCCAAGTTGCAGAGACCATGGCAAGGACCTTACTTGGTAACCAAGAAGATAAACGATCTGGTGTACAGAATCCAATTGTCACCCAGAAGCAAGCCTACAGTTGTCCACATAGAGAGGCCGAGACCTTACACGGGTCGTGATGTCCCCTCTTGGAATGTTGTTCGGGGCGAATAACCTCAGGGAAGGGGTAGTGTTGTAGATCATGCCCGAAAGAAAGTAACACCGGTCGCCATTGGTAACCATAAACCAAACGTGACGTAGCTGAGATCGTGGGAATGCCCAATGTTTCTTACCGCTCGAGAAGCAGCAAGAAACATGCTACCGATGTCGATGTAACTTCGGCGAAAATACCACGATATTCGGCTGCAAGCGTATTCGGACAGTCAAGTGGACGTTACAGTGCGGTACGCGAAGTGATCTAATAAGGCGATAGACATTAAAATAATAGTTGAAATTTTTAGTTGAAGTATTTGTGTATTTAAAGTTAAATAAATTTAAGTTTGATTATTCAGTGTAGCCAATTATTGGTGAACCCACGAGAGAAAAACGTAACAATACTATAGATTTAGAAACGGAATTGTAGAAAGTAATGATATTTTGTTTATGGGACATAATATTATTATACCAAAAAAATTGAAGCAAGGAATTATTCGGAAAATTCATCTAGGACATTTTTCACAAAGTGTAAAAATCGTGCAAAACGATGTTTTTTTAGCCTAGTATGCGTAGAGAGATAGAAGATACTGTCCTGAATTGTGAAGTTTGTCTCAAACACAGAGTGTCAAATCCAAAAGAATTAGTGATGCATTTTCGAGAATTCTCTGAAAAGTGGGACTTCATCACGTTATGTCCAGCCATCGATATCTTCAGTCGAATGGGATGGTGGAAAGAGCCAAGCAAACTTTGAAAAAAAAGTTACTAAAAGTAATTGAAGATAGGAGGGAGATAGAGTTGGTTTTGTTAATGTATAGAAACACTCCCATGGAAAACGGCTATTCACCATCTCAGCTAATGATGTCTTGTAATTTACGGGATATTCTACCAAGAACTGAATATAATTTGAAACCACAAAATATCAATTTTGAAAATTATAACAAGTCATTACACCAGCAAAGACAAAAACAATATTATGATCGTTCTTGTAAATATTTGAAACCTTCAAACATAAATAGTAGAGTGATATATCAAACTCGTTTAGGATCGAAATGGTCATTTGGTAAAATAAACAAACCTAGAGAAAGCTCATACGGTATAGAAAAACATGATGGAACATATATCATTCGAAAACAGTCTTCAGAAATATGTGGATTCGTTTTCCGATGGCATTTCAGGTTAGCTTCCCAAATTTCTGCTACCGCAGTTGTCGGTTAATTGGTCAAAACACCAACACTGACATAAAAACTTGGCAAGTTGACTTGGGTGTCACCAATTGGTGGTTCCACTTATGTTTCGCTTGCGTTTACGCAGCTATTTTTATCAAGTAAAATTGCTTTGCTACCCGTCTTGTATAAAATTATAGAAAAACAGGTAAAAAAACGAGTAATATCCTTCCTCGGGAAAAACAATGTGATAAATTTATTCCAATTTGGCTTTCAGTTTTCAACAGGTACACAAGACGCCATATTTTTACTCCTGGAAAACCTGTACACCAATCTTAATGACAGAGAATCTGCGGCGGCCATGTTTTGTGACCTAACCAAAGCCTTCGATTGTGTAGACCACATGCTGCTTCTTCGCAAGCTGGAAGTTTACGGGTTTAGAGGATCGACATTACTTTGGTTTGAGACGTACCTTTCTCATCGGCGGCAGAATGTTCTATTAGATGGAATTTCATCAGAGGAACGTTTCATTGACAGTGGGGTTCCACAAGGTTCCGTTTTGGGACCGGTGTTGTTTCTCATTCAATATTTTCAAATAAAAAATGTAACAAATAGTGGACATAACACTCCAAAAAGGGGGCTACATCTAACATGACCACGTATCATACACACTCGATAAAATCTCTCTCTGTATTTATGGCCTGGACCCGGATGTCACACAGGTAGCGTGTCACGTAGCTGCCTACGTGGTCATGTTAGATGTAGCCTGGGAATTCTAGGTCTTCTAACTGGAACCACAAATGTGCGGTTGGCTCTTGTTGTTGACTCCGTGCGTATGTGCAGTATCCTGCTTTCGGCAAACAAGTGTTGCCCATCTTTACACTTGGCTGCACCGCGCTGATAGATAGATAGGTAGATACTTTATTGGTGTTAATATACTTACAGTATTCACACAAGTGGCTGATGAGGTCAATAGCCAGAAACACGTGTCCGCGGTTTGCCCCCCTTTTTGGAGTGTTATGTCCACTATTTGTTACATTTTTGATTTGTATCATACACACTCGATAAAATCTCTCTGTGTTGCGAAACTTGTGGTGCTCTCATAGAAAAGTATAATATATTTGTTCTTTCCATTTACATATCTCCAAATGGAGATTTTGACATCTTTTTGAACTCACTAGAAAATATTTTCAAAAAATTAGATTGCATAAAACATATCATATTGGCTGGAGATTTCGGTTTTCAAAAAATGATTACCTGTCTTACTAGGGGAAAAAATTGTATTGACAAAATATTCATAAATTTTACATGTTATCCCTACGAAACAACAATAGAAACAAATCTATCTGACCACCACGGACAAATCTTGAAATTGGAAATACATCAGAACAAAGTGAAAATAAATAAAAAAATAAGCCGACCTATAATAGATTCAGGTAATTATGATATTAGAAACAAAAAAAGCAAATAATACATGGTTTAATGGCGAAATGAGAAACATGCGAGACCAGCTACACCTCTTGAACAAAATATATACAGAGCATCCTTCTGATAATCTCAAGCAACAACTAAACAGTATGAAAAAAAATATACAAAAAAACTATTGCATGTGCTAAAAGGAATGTAATGATAATCGTATAAATAAATCGAAAAATCAAAATAAATGCATGTGGAAAATCATAAAGGAAAAAAAAAACAGAGAACAACGAATTAAAGATCCACCAGTCTCACCAAACACCTTCAACTAAACTGCTGAAACAGTGTACAAAAGAGTACATTTTTCCCTCCGTTTTGAAAGAAGCATTAGTAATACCTATCTTCAAAAGTGGAAATCCAAATGATCCTACCAAGTTCAGACAAATATCTTTGCTACCAATATCAAAAATATTTGAAAAATGTATAGTTCTAAAAATTGTACATCATTTTGAGAATTATAATATCTTCACAGACTGCCAGTATGGATTCCGAAAAGGTAGAAACACTGAAATGGCGAACTAGATCTTAGCAACAAAATTACAACTTTTGAAAAACTACAGTATACAGAAATAACTTTTTGTGTTCTAAGAAAAGCATTTAATTGTGTATCACATGAAATTTTTTTTAATAAATTAAAAATATATAATTTTTCTGACAATAGTATAAAGTTGATCAACTCATATTTAGAAAATCGATTTCAAACTGTAAAAGTGGGCAATTCTCTATCAACAAGAAAAAAAAATTACAACTGGTGTACCGCAAGGATCTATTTTGGGACCTCTATTATTCATAATTTTAATCAATGACCTACCATATCGGAAGAAACCGATATCATATATTTCATAAAGTACAGTACTTTATTTGACCATTTTACATACAGTTGTATATTTATGGCAAGTCACAAATACAGAAATCCTTGATCAGAGATAAAATTCATCTACTATGAAATATAAAACACCAATAAATTATCTATCTATCTATCTATATTGTATTCTTTCAATGATTTACGTAAATCTATTCACGGTGCAATACCTCTATATTTGTTTTAAACTACTTTGAAGCTTCATATGTTCTACGTTTCATTATTTTCTTAATTTTTTAACCCTGATTTAGCTTTAGCTGCAGATTTTGTTTGCTTAAATTATCGAATTTTATATTCTGACCAACTGTAATATTGACTGAATGTAGGATAACTTTGTGAAAACATAAAAGGAAAGGAAATACCACTAGTACAGGATCGGGATCGGGAACGTTTTCTTTTTGAACTAGAACATCTCTTACGTTCATGAGCATAGTAATCTATATCATCATTTACAGTTTCCTCTCCTGATGTTGACCCTGAAGATGATCTCATTTTCCGGCGAGGTTTTTCACTTCTGGTGGAGGTGGCTGCATCTACCTAAAACATGAATTTAATGAGCACAGGGACTTGAAGTTCAACTATATGCTTTTTTATTTTGGAGACTCAAGTCTACATAAACACTCGTATATAAACTGTCCTAATTGTTTACCAACATGAATCATAAAAACCATGTGAACCATATTAAAGTTATAAATAAAACTAATCATACCTGGTCTACAACTGCATTGATTTCTGAATTTTTGAATTTTTCTTCATCATCCACTACCATTCCTTCTTTCTGTTTGGTACTCGAATAACAGCTGACCTTAGATGTTCTAACAATGGGGACATATTCAACTCTCATAACATTATCTTCGAAGAAGTTATGTTCATTACATACCGCCATATGGATTTTGAGATCTTTAATAATTACAAATCTTTTCGTAGCCACAAAAATTTCATCCTAAAAACATTATCTTGAATTACACTAAAATTTCAAAATATATAAATGTTATTTACTAATCCAGCTGGTCCATGCAGAGTAATATCAGGAACACCAACGTCTTGTATCGTCAGTGCGGTTCCTGGCAACCCACCAATATTTTTCCAAACTGGCTGTGTAATGAATATATGTTCCAACTTGGCCAGTTTCATTTTATGTTCATGGGCCAGCCTTTGAGTCCCCTCTCCACAATTGAACAAATACCTGTCAAATATTTGAATTAAAAGGAATTTCAGAAAAAAAAATTGATAATTTATTTGTGAATTAAAAAAAAACGAATCCGGTAGATGCAACTTAAGAACATGATAATGAAAAAATACCTTGTAGTATGTTAACAGTTGAGGAAATACTTTTAATGAAAAAGTTGGCTATGCGATGGAAATGACGATAAAAATTGTCTTTTTGATGCCTCCATTTCATGAAAAACATAAGCAATATTCAAAGAAAACCATTACTCCTTTTAGTCACATTCATGATTGTAAAATGATGAAAAAGATTGGAAGCAAGAAATTACGAGGAAGGGGGTGGCCAAGAATGAACAGTTTATTTATTTACGGCTTTGCTTATTTTTACAAAATATTTAACAAATTCACACATATGTACTATAAGTTCATAATTCAGTGTTCATATAGAAGTATTTGTTTCGAAAGAATTTTTCTTTCGTATAATTCAATGTTTATATGAAAGTAGCTGTTTCAGGAGGACTTTTTTTCAGTTTGTGTCTGAAAGTTACTTCTTTGCATGATCTACACATCCATGTATAGAGTTACTTCCTTCCTTTCTTTGGAAGACTCTCGCATCCTTCTTTTTTGTATCAAGATAGAGTAGTAGAAAGCCAAAAACTTTCTTTCCCAAAAATGTACTATAACTATCAGCTAGATGTAAGGACAAATATAAAAAAATAAGAAAGGTAACAAAAGAATTATTCAAATCGGCTGGTATATAAAGATTTTATAAGGGTGCTTCCATCTTAAATGGGTCACAGTGTATAAAGATAGATAATAATAATAATCTACATTTCAAAAATATGCCGACTATTACAGCTTGTACACAGACAACATAGAATGAAATAATGTCAAAAAAAAGAAAAAGTCATAAATATATACATTTATATAATTCGGTTTGGTCACTAACACTATTACTATTATTATATATTTTTTTATTTCTTTCTTACATTTCTTTATGCTCCTCAAATATTTTATTCGATTAGGCAACTTATTGTACAGCTTCATTGACATGTAATGAGGAGTTTTTTCTGTTATGGTTAACCTATGTATAGAGAGCACGAAATCATTTCTTCTTGTTCCATAGGAATGTTGATTAATATTGTTAAAGAACAGATGCCTATTTTTTAATACAAACATTAAACAATCATAAATATAAGGAGCATATATTGTAATTATCCCGTTATTCTTGAAGGCATATCTACATGATCGATTATACTTCAAATTACTCATCATTCTGATTGCTTTTTCAGAATTACAAATATTTTATTTATATTACTATTGCTTCCCAAAATATGATTCCATATCTAGTTACAGACTCAAAATTGGAAAAATATAAAATTTTTACTGATTCTTTGTTGAGATAATTGTGAACCACCCTTAATCCATTCGAAATTTTGCTCAATTTGTTAGCTGTATAATCAATCAATAATGAATTCAAGAATTCATCAATATGAAGTCCTAGAAATTTGGTGTCTTCTGAATATTTTATAGTAATGTTTTCAATATTCAAATTTTGAGGTCGTTCTATCTGTAATTGATTAGTTCTAAAAAGTATAAGATTAGTTTTAGATTCATTCAAAATTAACCTATTCCTAGTGAACCATTTTTTTGTATCATTAAACATTTCCATACCTGTTTTTACTACTTCAGGGTATGTTTCACGGCCTATCAATAAATTATTGTCACCAGCAAAGACTGTAATTGAATTATGTGTGTTTGAATGATAACATAAATCGTTTATGTAGATAATAAATAACAAGGGACCCGCAATGCTTCCTTGGGGTATTCCTACTTTCACTGTCGCATTCTCAGATTTGTATGTTCGACCATGTTTGTTAATAGTTACTATTTGTTGGCGATCTGTTAGGTAAGATTCAATTCATTTCAGTGAGTTTCCTCTTATACCATATAGTTCTAGATTTTTTATAAGTATTTCGTGATTCAAACAGTCAAGTGCCTTTGACAGATCTAGCACATACCAAGTGCTAAATATTTTCTTTCCATTAAGTTTGTTATATTTTGAGTAAATTGAAATATTGCACTGTTTGTTGATCTGTCTCGTAAGTATCCGTGTTGGTTATTGCTAATTATAATACATTTATATAGAAAATTTGTATAATGTTATTACATATAGCAAGCTCAAATAATTTTGCAAAACTTAGTAGGATATTTACAGGTCGATGGTTTTCCATAAGTTCAGAATCCCCCTATACTATTCTGATCATTCCCATATTGTTAAATTTAAAAGTCACGATAGACAGCTGTTTCAGCCTGTTGGGCATCGTCATCACCGGGCAGGCAGTCCTCGATCGAAGACAAAATGTGATTAACAAGAAAAGTACTCGATCAAAATAACTGCGTAAATGCAAGCAAGACATAAGAGGAACCACCTAATACTATTCTGATCATTCCCATATTGATTTCAATTCAAGAGCCACCCGGAGACAACTGTTTCAGCCAGGAGTTGGTGGATGAATCCACCCCCAGTGTTTATTGTAAATGTTTATGATATCCTACCTAGATTGATCCGTAAATAAATACAGAGCTCGAGGGGCTCCCTTCGCCCCTGTTCCGAGAACCTGAAGAGTTACCTTTCCTGGAACATATTTTGAGAACTTTTCTTTGATTTTTCTTCTTTGTTTTTGTGCTTCTGATATATGTTTAGGTTCCTTTGGCATATTTTTCAAAACACTATGTAACTTTGAATGGATTAGAGTTGAGTAGAGCTTCAGGTGAAGGACTGTTCTTTGGCTGAAAAGGGGAAGTTTAAGGAAAATGATCATCAGGATATTCAGTGGAGGGTATATATACTTATAAAATTTTAACGACGTGAGATTTTGGAAGATGAAATGTTATGATTTGTTACTCTTCTTCTTATTTTCATTGTATTTCGTTCAAACGTCGGTAATGTTTGAAAAATGTTTGTTGGTTGTACGAAATTCAGGTTCTAGGATGTCACGATCATGCGCAGTTGATATAGAGCGTTCTGGTTTATTGAGGATAAGTTCGGATTGATGAACAGAGGATTCTGTTCTGGTTTCGACTGCGAAATGATCCTAAACTATCTTGAACTGTCCCGAATCGTTCTTACTCACGAGGCTGAACTGTTGAGCACTGTTCTCTTTGCTCATGCGCATTCATGTAGAAATTAGTTTGGGCTATTTTCTAGGATGTATTTTTATTTATTTGATTTGAATAATTGATGATTGAGGTTAGATAACATTTCAACTAACTACAAGGATACGCTACATAACAAAATGGACATGATCAACAGTATTTTCTCGTCTTCATTTTTCTTATATACGATAGGTGGCACAGTGTCTCCTCAAAATGCGTTCTAGTTTAACCAAGTGTACGAGACTATTTCGGACTGTTTGAGATTTTTTGCTTGCACGCATCCATGTCTTGCGCAGTTTCTAAACAGTTTCGGATGAGAACCAGAACAAACCTTTTAAAGTCACTAGGTTTGTTCTGGTTCTACGAGTTTCAGGTTCTAGGACGTCAGGATTATGTGCAGTTGAGCGTTCTTGAATCGTTCTTGCTCTCGAGGCTGAACTGTTGGGAACTGTTCCCGTTGCTCATGCGCATTCATGTGGAAATTTATTTGATTTAAATAATTGATTATTGAGGTTAGATAAGATTTGAACTGACTATAAGGATACGCTACATAACGAATGTTTGGAAAACAAACTCAGTAGAGAAAAGTGTTTTATGTATAATTCAGTGTTCATAGAAAAGTATTTGTTTCCAAAGATTTTTTCTTTCGTGTAATTCAATGTTTACATGAAGTAGCTGTTTCAGGAGGGCTTTTTCTTCCAGTTTGTGTCTGAAAGTTACTTCTTTGCATGATCTACACATTTATGTATAGAGTTACTACTTTTAAAATTTATTGCTTCCTTCCTTTCTTTGGAAGATTCCTACTGTTTCTTTTGTATCAAGATGAAGTAGTAGAAAGCTATATACTTTCTTTCCCAAAAATTATTCACTCCTAAAAATATAATCTTCATATATACGATAGGTGGCACAGTGGTCTCCTCAAAATGCGTTCTGGTTTACCCTAGTGTCCGAGACTATTTCGGACTGTTTGAGATTTTTTGCTTGTACGCATCATGTCTTGCGCAGTTTCCAAACAGTTTCGGATGTTAGAACCAGAACAAACTACTGTTCACAGCACAAACTACTTACTCTCACAAACTACTTACTCTCAGGTGGTTTGTGAGTTCTTTGTGGTATGGGAAGTGACAAATCCCAGAAAGGATCGAAGGTTACAGATGAGTCTCCACAGTGTGTGCACTTCATCGTGGATTTTAATTGACCAACGAAATTATCTACAATCTTAGAGTTATATGTACTCAAATAAATCAGCCATGACTCTTGCGCTTTTTCGCTGTAGCTCAATTTTTCGTTAATCTCCGTTAAGGTCGGTTAAGGTTTGTCAACAATTCTATTAACGTCATCATGTAACCTTCTAAAAGATAACGAAGGAACTCATGGGCGTCTTAATGCGCATGACCCATGAATCGAGGGGCAAAACTCTGAATCTGACTTTTTAAGGAGACTGTTCTCACTACTTTATCAGATGAATCTTCTGACCACAATTCCTTGATAACTTCTGCGAAAGTATTAGAAATATTAGTATTGATATCTTTCATGTACTCATCCTTTTCCAAATATCCCAGTAACCATCTCGTATTTGATGAACATTGGATTGCACTGTTCATGAAACAGGTGTTGCCAATATTTTTCATCCCATTAAGCCCAAGGGTTTTGACTAAGGAATGTCTCACTGATTCAATTGTGTTGTAGCTGTTGGTGATACGTTCGCCACCGCTGTCTTCATTCCAGTAACCACGGATGTAATGATTCTTCCCATTATTGGACAAACGGAATGAGGAATTTAAAGTCAAATTTCTTGAAATTGAATCAGAAATTCTCATAGTGGTTTTTTCGAATTTGTGAAAGAAAGATAATTCCAGAACTTGTTTATTTTTCTCTGCATCTTCTGAGACAATTGGGCAATGATCAATCTGCTGACTCCATTTTGCGTTGTTCATAGAAAATGTTTATTTGATTTGTGGGTTCAGGAATATTTCATCTAATTTTTGAGTAGACGGAAGAGTACCTACCCAATATCGATGTGGCATTACCCGTTTGAATGGCGATACTAATTCTTTGAATCAAAAATGAATAGGCTCGGTTGTCATTGGTAGAATTCATCATTCTTCTACCAATTTCTTTCAACAACTCATAAGCAATGAGATCCAAAAACACCAAAGGATTCAATAGCAACAGGAAAGAAACAGTAAGAATCTAGCAAAGTAGTATTTCCGAAATTTTGATTTTTCTACTCAAATGATTTATTCAACTTAGTTTACTCTATTTTATTTTCGAATCACACTTCTTGGTCTTTTACCGCTGTCACCATGTTATATATTTGATTTTCTTTATTGAATATATAATATATAAAGGAAATATTCACTTCAACAGCTAATAAGTCAACAACGTACTTTTGTAACTAGCAACAAACATGACAGTTCCTAATCCTAATACTTATATCTAGTTGTCATCAAAAGTATGGTATTATAATATATAACAGTTTTTATTGCAATATTTTCAGTATTTTGTAAATTCTTGTACGCTTGTCCTTGGACACTTTAATAAAATTGATCTGCCAAGCTCTGTCAACATGCCAGGAGTAAAATAAATGTGGATAAGGCGGACCTATTACCCCCCATAACATGCATTAAAAAACACCTCAGCCATATCTGACATGAAAAATGTAAAATGAATGACTTCTGAAAAAAAAAACAACCAGAACTACCAACCAACAACAAAAAAAAATTGAAGTAAAATGTACATACAATTTTATTTTCTATTTGTGCAATAACAATGTGAAAAATGTTACCTAGTCGAGACACTCGCCTAAAATGTGTATCTCGGTTGAATGATATCTTATTTCGCATTGACCTCACCTGAAATTTTTTACATTGAATTGTAATGACTATTTCTGTATTTTTACAGTTATGATATTCATATGAGCTCTAGAGATTTTTTGGTAAAATTTTACTTTATGGGATACTCACGGATTTTCGCGATTTTTTCTGTGATGATAGGAATTCAGAACACTTTTTATTTTTTGATAGCCTGTCAAAGTTTGTATGATGTCATATTTTACCTTTTTTTTATTAAGCAATAAAATATTACAATTTACATATTTTTAATTCAACACATCTTTTTTCCATATCATCGCACTTTTTTCTATCCCTTTTCATTATTCACTTATTGCCACTTATTGTTAACTTCACATCGTCGTATGGTTACAATTACTGTGTACTGTGAATTGACACTGAGATACTATTTCACCGCTACCCCCGTTAGAGTGTTATGCAAAAATTTGGTTTGATGCGTTCTGGATAACCTAGATGCCGCATAGCTGTGAAATGGCCCTTTCTTCCACCAACTAGCATCATAAGCCTAATATCAAGATTTGAAATATGAAAAGTAACCAGATCATCCCTCATTTTGGCTATATTATTAACGGCTTCAGTCTTTTTGATTCAAATTTAAACCTGTAATACATAACATCTATTTTTTCTCTACAAACGGTTGGTTGTCGTTCTGTTACAAGTACAAAACATTGACAATGGGGAATGTTCCTCCTGACGAAAATCAAGTAGTTTTCATAAAAGTGCTCTAAAACAACGCATTTTAAACTTATCATTTCAACCTTTCTTCTTTAAAAAAATATTTAAATACTTAAAAAAGAGGAATGAAATAATGCATTCAACATTTAAAGGGATTCGTTTCTATTTCACCATTTGGCAACATCGGTTATAGCTAATAAAGGACAATGAATCTGTTACCTGTATGAGACAAACAAAGATGACATATGGTGTTCTGTGTACTTATGTTCCGAGTTCCGAGACATTCTGTGACATATGACATTTCGTGCACCTAACCCATCTTCCTCTGTTTAAAAAAATAACAAAACAACTGTTGTTTATGTGGCTTGTAGAGGTGGATTTGAACTATAATTTATATTTTGCCTCAATTGTTGATTTATAGAGATAATTTTCCTTTTTAAAGTAGAATATCTAGGTACGTATAAATTATTTCAACTTGATATAGGTGATATGTGAATCCCTTCAAAAATTAAAATCCAACATTTGAAACATCAATTTGAATACTTTTAGAAGTGAATTCGACTCATAAATTGAACTCAACTTTATTTTGTTCAAACTTGCATTTGCTGTGATATCCCGAATTGAGAAACATTCCCCATTGCTTGTGAACCGTTTGGTATTGGGATAAAATTCCAGTAATATTCAAACGTTCTTAATATCTAAAAAAATTATAAAAAAGCAGATATAATAATCGTAAAAATATATTTTACCCAAAGATACATCAAATCACAATTGAACTTAACGATTAAACCATCATCCCTTTTTCGATATGGATATAAACAACTAAATAAATAAAAATGCTCTCTCCTGGCTCGCTCCAGTTGACTGACCAATTCCCGTCCAATCTCTCGTGCCCCGCGTTTTTTTTACCCATGTCGATAGTGGTTTCTTACAAAATATCGAGAAGAACTCTGATATTCACAGTTATTCGATAAAAAAATCATAAAAACGTGCATCTACACATTTTTGGAAATCTATCTTATGAGCCGTCGGCAAAATGGACTAGAAGTTTCTAATATAACTTGCTGCCGAGGGATATAAGAGAATCTTATATTTGAAGAATTTGAAAAAATATGAAAACTCTTGGCCAATAATAATATATATTACATTTCATATCTAGTTAGAACTTGATGTACTTATTCATTATAATATATCCTAGTGAAAAGTGAATAAAATAAAAAATGTAATGTTGAAACTTCCTAGATCTACATTTAAAATCCAAATGTGAAGTTTTATGTTCACTGAAAGACATAACCTATAACTTATGTCGATGGACATAACGTTTTCGAGTGTCCATTCGGATTCTCTTCTTTATTGGCCGATGCTTCCTGTTCGTCCATTCGGATTGTTTATTTTTCTGTGCTACGGTCCTTCCAAATAATAAGAAGAAGATGAGCTTTCTTGGTTAATTTGTTTATCTTGTTTCTTGTTGATTATATTAGGGAGCCCACATTATGATACGAATTAAAAAGCGGAACTCGACAGAAAAAAAATTATTGAAATCTAATAAAATGAAATCAAAAATTGTCAAAAAAGCGCGTGGGATTAAAAAAACTGTGAAACCATGTGGTATCTTATCAATTGATACAGTAGAAGGATGTTCTAATGAAAAATTTGCTGACCAAGAAATCAATGAAGATAACTATGAAATGGAGGAACAAGTCTCGGATCCTGATATGGAAGTAGAATACGAAGCAGAAAAACATAAACGAGATTTACTTAAACTTCAGAAAAGTGACCCTGAGTTTTATAAATTTTTACAAGAAAATGACAAAAAGCTCTTGGATTTCAATGTATCCGATGAAGAAGCCGATGAACCAATAGATGATGAGAAAAATGAGAAGTCTGACATAATTCACAAACTTGAAGAAAACCTAGAGGTTGCTAGTGACGAGAGTGACTTTGAGGTAAAAAATTCAATTCAGATTTAATTTTATGTTTCTTCAGTTGAACTAGACGCTGCTATAATAGTAATTTCACACATAAGTACAGTTCTTACACCATGTGTATTATTTAAACATACAAAAGAAATTGAATAAATTAACACATTCAAATATACCTATTCTAAAAATTCTTCAGTTATATTTAACTAGTCATAAAATCATCATGTGAAAAACTTGTGACTAAGTTTGACTCATCATGAGATAAGTACTTTCATTTCTGCTTTGTGTTTTTAAAGTTCTATTTTAGATTTCAACATTTTGGTTAAAATTCTGATGACTTACTTAAACAAACATTTATGGTATTAATAAATATATACAAAATAGAAGGTAAAAATTCGCTTTGGCTCCCAAAACTGACTTTGACATTGTTAATATTCTTGAATTGATCGTTAAAAATGGAGTCAAAAATTACTGTTAACGAAAAATGAAGTTGCACACCCTAGCGAGGTCTTGAAGTAACTGATAAATAAATTTTCTATATAATTGAGAATGCAAATGAAAAAATCCTGAGAAAAGTCAATTTTTATGCATAAAAATACACTTTCTCAATAAAATTATTCAACTGCTTCTTCAACCCCCTAGGGGTAATAAATACCCCTGTAAAAGTTTCAATTAAAAAGAGGTAGCATTTGATACCATATTTAAAAGGATTTTCAATTCAGTAAGCACTTTTTTATTTTTGGACGATTGTAACAAAAAGCAATAATTTTCATTTGTTTAAATTGTACAATAATTAATAATACCATAGAAGTAACTAAAGTTTGATGTTATTTACGATAATTATAGTCTAAATCAAAATGAGATCTCTTCATTTTGTGACAAAATTTTACAGGAATAAAAATTAAGGGGATGAGTCACTAACATAGAGGAAATACATAACAAATTAGAGGTATTAAAAAACAGGTAGTTTAGCGTAGGAACAATAACAGGTAATATTTAGATATTATTAACGGGTGTAGTTAGGTACTACTAACAGGTAATAGTTAGGCCACTAGCATACATAAACACTAAAGTAATAGTAAAATTCAGTCAAAATGATCTTTTGAGGACGCTAACTTGGATAGCAAAACATGTGTCGAGAGACTGTAATTTTTGTTCTTGTGTTGGAGAAGTGTTTACAATAGATACTACCGATTAGTATTACCTAACTACTACCTGTTATTGTTCCTAAGCTAAATCACTATTCTCTGACTATTTCCAAAAATTTTTTTCTCTTATATTTATCTGTTTTTCATTTAGAATTATTATGTATCAGACCAAACAAAGAGTTGTTCGAAATGAGACCTTTTTTGCTATTCATAGAACTTTTTCTACACTTTTCGATTTTCAAGCTTTCGAAGGCATCCAGAAACCTGTTGTCATGTACTTACCTCAACAATTCTGAACATTTCTCACTTATTCTGTGGTTGTCTTTATGGCATGTTGAGCGACACAAGATTTCTCTAAACTATGAAACTGAACATGCAAAACATGTTCCGTGTAGCGAGCTAATATAGTCTGTGTGGTTTGACCAATATATTTCTTATCACAATTCTCGCAGTTCATTTCGTAAATCCCAAACTTTTCTTTTTCCAATGCCTTATAGACTAAATACTAAATTTACATCATATTTTGTGACGAATCCAATAAGTTATACCTTCTGTACTCCTTTTTGTAATAACTTCAGTGACGAATAAAGTTCTATTTTATTCTATCTTTCGGACTGCCCAACACTTGTAGAAGTGTACATGCCATTTTGAGGCCACTCTTACATTCAATTTTTTTATTGTTCGGACCAACCCATTGGTGTATTCGGGTTCGTATGGAAGTACTATGAACCTTGAATCTTCCTCCTTTTGAAAAGTCGAGGCGTCAAGAAGATACTTCGTAAATTTTTATTTTCTAATTAATTTATTAACTATGTTTGATGGATACCCACCCGTTGCTTTCAGCCACCTCTCTAAGGGAAATGCTCAAGGGAAATGTGAGCAGTCTATGGAAAAGAAATTGTAGTCCCGCCATTTTTTGCTCACATTATTTTATTAGTTTGAAGGCTAGCCTCGCGCGTCAGCGAAACGTCGGGAAGAAATTCCAAAAATCGACGGCGTTGAAAAAAGAAAAGAAAAGTCTGGGATTTACGAAATAAGCTACATGGATTGTGATAAGAAATATGTTGGTCAAACAGACTGTATTAAGCTCGCTACAAGGAACATGTTTCACATGTTCGGTTTCATAGACCGAGAAATCTAGTGTTGCTCAACATGCCATAGAGAACGACCACAGAATAAGTGAGAAATGTTTAAAATTGTTAAGGCCGGTACATGACAACAGGTTTCGAAAGCTTGGAAATCGATATGTGCGAAATGAGTTCCATGAATAGTGACAAAGGTCCTATTCCGAACAGCCCTTTGTTTGGGTTTATATGTGATAATTCTAAATAAAAAAACAAATAAATATCAGAGGAAAAATGTAGATTTATGCCTAAATCTACAGATTTAGTACCCCATCATAGTATATATTCCACAATGTGAGACCAATTACGTAGCCTTGTGGAACACCATAGGTGATGTTCATTTTTCCCTTGTATCCTACTATTAGTACCCTCTCTTCAAAGTAGCTGGCAATCATATTGTACAAGTATGCAGGTAGATCTCTTCTTTTGATATCCTTCAGGATCCCTTCCCATGGTGCGGAGTTGAACGCGTTTTGTACATCTTTTTCTACCAATCCTTTCGTTTGCTTCGTCTGCGATATTTTTTATCTTTGCCACTGCATCTGTTGTTGACCTACCTTTTCGGAAACCGAACTGCTTTTCATTCAGGTCGCCTTTTCTTATGCTCGAGGAGTTTTCCCATGATGTTCAGAATTAATATGGAACTGTATGATATATTTTTGCCTTTTGCAAGTCTGGCTATCTTTCATTCTTTGGAGAATTGCCCTGTTGTTAATGAGAGGTTCATTATTCTCAGACATTGTTTCGGGTGTGCCTCAACAACAACTTTGATGAGTTCCGCTGGGAGTTCATCTGGACCGGCGGCTTTTTTCTCTTTTAGTCTTCTGTTGGCTTCTATGAGTTCATACATTGTGAACGGTGTTAGTCTGTCCCATTTTTTAATCTAGTAAGATAGAAACAAAGTGTTAGCAAATACCATTTGTTCATCTTCGGTTAGTCCAATCAGCTGTTTGACTCTAAAGCTTATTGGTTACTATTTGGTTGCCCTTCTCCAGATATCCGCATCTACTTCTTATATCAGTGTTTTCCACGCTTTCTGTTTCCGTAGTTCATCATTCCCTCTGTTCGACCTTACCACTTTTCTTCTACTCATGATGCACTGTTCGGAACCTTTGATGTAGTAATGAATATTACTGGAGTTTTATCCCAACACCAAACAATTATTTTCAACACCTCAGCAGGTGTCTTTAATCTTCCTCTTGAAGATGATCACTTGGTGATCGAAACATGTGTCAAGGTGTTAAAAATAACGGTTTGATGTTGGGATGAAGCATTCTGTTTTCTACTATTTATTATCTATTATGTTGATAATCAAAAAGGTACTCAAAAAATTATGAATTCGAAACATTTAATTATTATGTACCACACATATGAATAGAGTAGAAAAAACTCAAAATATATTTCTGGAAAAATTTTCCTGTGAAAAATAGCAATTTTGGGTATATGAGAATAATTTAAAATCCTGCAACTCGTTGACAGAAGATCTCTTGATGACACATTTATGATAAAAAAATAAGAAATTGACCTGCATGATCTACCATTCATTATGTACTGAATTTTGGAACTTGTGATTTTTCAATTTTTTAAATATAAGAACTATGTATTCGATGCGATACTGGCATCGCTTTTTCACTTATATGTTTGCAAATAACATTAATTTCATAAAAGGAAATTTGGGACACGTTTTCTAAATAACTCTGGACAATAAAAAAAATAATCAAATCGTTTATTCAGAAGTTTATTCAGAAGTATCAAAGATGATGTAGTAACGGTCGCAGTGGGCGAGTTGGTACTCCCGAACACATTAACTGGGATGCTAGTGTTTGACTCTGGCCTTTGATAATGTCTACCGCAGTAGTAGACGAATCGTCACACATAAAAACCTGCAGACCACGGCCAAAACCTGGAATATAGCTTTCACACAGTTATCTCTGGCTGTGAAAGTTTACATTCTTTGATTAACTACTTACTTACTGAAAGTTGCGATTTTCCAGGGCACTTATTATTATGATCTTGTTGTCATTGCATATAGTAATAATAATTACATATGCTGTATAATAATCCAAGGGCTTATTCTATGTGTGTGTCTCAATATGAAAAAACATGACTGCTAATTTGCATCGTAATATTGATTGTCTCAAATCCATAAAACTTCTTGTGGTGCTCTAATTATTTTCAAGGGCACAGATAACAAAAACATTATTTTTGTCTTTCAACCTACACATTTGTTTGTTATCTTGTAAAAGTTTTTATTGATTTTTAGCCAGATGAAGATAAACAAGAAAAGGACTCCAGAGTTATTACTCTCAAATTGTTGAAAATTTGGCAAAGTGAAGTTCATACTGACAAAAGTAATAAAACCATCACTGCATTGATTCAAGCTTTTCATGCTGCTTTACTTAGAATAACCAGTCAAGAAAAAGATGAAGAACCCTCATATTTCAAAGTTGAAGGTAGGAAATGATAGCATTGATACATGTACACTGCACAGTAAGCATTTTTTTACTTTTTCAGGTCCTGCAGTTTTCAATGGCGTTATTCAACTATGTGTTCTTGAATTAGGTCCTGCTATTAGGAGGTTCTTAGGGATTCGCTTAGAGTCTAAGCAACCTGCACATAAGTGTAAGAAATTTATTAAAATCAAAAGAGTTCTAAAGACCTATTTTTTGGATATTCTGAAGGTAAGTTCAACCTATTATCTACCTGTCCTATTAAAAAAGTTGTTACTTCATATATGCTTGCATTTATTTATTCTTCGGGATGTGATGTAAATTTGAACATATTTTAAATAAAATAATTTTTAAATATTGAACTTTTATATTACAAATTGATAAGACCAGTTTTCAAATGATATATGTTGAAAAAATATCAATAGATTTCTTTTTTTTTCAACTGTCACTGTCAAATAGGTGGTGAAGCGCATTGTAAAATATTTTGTGAAGAAGATATATTGTTACCTGATAAATTTTCAAAGGAAATTGGAGTTTCCATCGTGAGTACATTCTATAAAAAGTTATTCCAACATAAATTTCCATTGACAATGCATCAAAAGTAACATGGCCAAAAAAAGTCTGAAGGAAAAATAAATAGTCCAGTGCCTATTGAAGATCTAGAAAAAAAACGTATACTTACTTTTAAAATATCTTGCTGCTAGTACCTTAATACAAGAATAAATAAAAAAAAATCTCGTTTCTACACAAGACCAACAAAACACTGGTAGCGCTTATATTTTTGTATATGTCAATTGTATTCATAATTTAAAATACAATTACAAAATACAAGAAAAAGAAAACCAAATTAATTCATGAAAATGAACTATTGAAAGAAGAAAATGGTATTATAAAAATATAAATAAATTCTCTCAAATATTTTGTAAACGCTGAAGAACAAATGAAAATAAAAACGTAATATAGAAGTGAGAGAATACCAGAACAACAAACAAAGATGAACAATTAATTGAAACTGCTATTAAAGCAATTGGAATCCATATAAATTCCAGTCAAATATCAATTCGCCAAGTTAGAGATCACTATGATATGAAGAAGAAATTAAAAAAATTCGTTATATATTGATAAAAATAATACGTAACAGACTTGAAATGGATACATATATCAAAGATTTATATGTATTTACAGGTGTAGGCACAGGTAAACTTTAATATTGAAGATTGAAAAAAATCAGAGATGATTTTTTTTATATTTGGAGTATAGCTATAGCTCTACAAACGAGAACTTTCAGAAGTGAAAACTTGTGCGAGCTTAGGATTCACGAAGGTCTTACCTTTCAATTGGCGATTATCTTTAATGAATTTCAACTATTTATTTATATCTAAAAGAAGACTTTGATTTGATAATCCTTACTAAAACTTGCAAACAACTGACTACAAATTCCTTCCACATTAATGGTAGGATGCATTGGAGCTCTTAATATTCTTTTGAAAAATATATTCCTCATTAATACATTGAATGTTATACCTACATCCTTCAGCATGTCCATTTGAATTCATTTCTCATCTGAGAGACTATCTTAATGAAAATTAAGTCTAATACCAAAAAACCACTATTTTCATTGGAGATATTAATATTAATATCTTTTTTAATTCCATTTACACTCATTAGTATTTAAATACCCTGAATCAATTTGTATTCCTATTGTTCATTAATGAACATCTCAGAACAATGGACATTCAAAAATAATATGTGTAGATCACATTTTCATTAAAAGTAAACATATTTAGGCTTCTTATGTATTATTATAATAGTACAGATCATTATTCGATTATTCTCCAAATCAATTGTACCATTTTATTTCTGGTTTAAAGGCGTCGACCACGAGGTCATTGGCCTTAATTGTATCATTTATTATTATTATTGCAATGAAATAAAATTCATTATAATGGATAAGGCAATAACTAGTGATAAAAAATGATATCAGGGAATGTATAAATTATTTCAGTAATGTGGGGAATAGTTTAGCAGAAAATATTATAAAGGGTAAAGATTCTAGTCAAAAATCGCCCAAAACTAATTTGCACTTTTTTGTATTGAAAAAACAAATGTAGATGAAATAATCGACACTAATAATGACGATAAAATTTTAAAAATCCCAGGAAAGATTGGCATTACTTTTGAAGTTTTGAAAACATTAAGTGATATAATAGCAAAAATAATGACCCATTCAACAAGTACTATCATACATACAGGAATATTAACAAAATTATTTAAAGTTGGATTTATAGAACCTATTTTTAAAGGGGGAGACAAAAGTAATGTGAAAAATTATCGACCAATTATACTCATATCAATTAGCGAAAATGGTTGAAAAAATTTTAAAATCTAAAAATAGATAATTTATTTAATGAAACATATTTTATATATCAAACAATTCAGGCTCAAAACAAAATTCTAGAGAAGATGTTGATTATTACACAAATAATATGTATGGACTAAATAATATTCCTAGCATTTGATACTGTCAGCCATGAGTTACTTTTGAGGAAATTGAAATATGTTTTCAACGATCCAAAATTGTTTGAATATTAGGTACCGTTCTAGGACTCTTACTATTTAATATCTTTATAAATGACTTGCTTTCAATAGGAACCAAAGAAAAAATTCACACTTTTGTTGATGATACTGTTATTTTATATAAAGCTGAAACTTGGACTGCATTGAAAACCATTATTCTAGATGATTTCAAAAATATTAGTCAGTGGTTTGACAATAACTTTTTAGAAATAAATTTTGATAAAACTGAAAATAAACATACATTTAATTGAGATTCTTTATTTTTTTTTGATACAATCTCAGATGAGTTATGGAATTTTAGGTTGGGGCAGTGTTAAAAAAATACATTCAAAAGAATTTGAAATTATATAAAAAATATTTTTGAAAATAATATAATACAGATTGACAATATTCAACTAAATTTTTGTTTGAAGGAAGTAAATAATGGACATTGTAAATTTATAGAGTAATGATTAATTTCTAAAAAAATAATAAAATGATAAGCGGTTTTATTGAAGAAAAAAAAAGATAATGATGTGATAATTCGGAAGGTATTGCAATCTACGGTATTGATCAGATAAAAAATAATAAAATCGTTGGGCGTGGTATTCACAAATTTACTCAGGTTATGCCAGGCCTGACTTATATATTTTTTATGCGATCAATACCATAGATTGCAGAGGAGAGTGGTGTGATGACTGCTACCTAGGACTTTCCGAATTATTTTTTAGCTCTTAGTACATTATCATTATTATATTTTTTTTCTTCAATAAAACCGTTAGACACAATTTTTTTACTACTTTTATTTTCAAGTTTTTAGTTTCTAATTTTGTTACTCATTTCTTCTCATTTTGTTTACTTCATTTAGTGCCTCACTATTACAAGGTAATATGTAATCCGCTATTTTGTAGCTGCGGCCATCTTGAATTTGCATCTTTTTGAAAGTGTACTACTATTCTACTAGTCCAGCCCTGTCATTTGATACCCATATTGAGGTAGTCGTAAAGAAATATGTAATCCGCCATTTTTTAGCCGCAGCCATATTGAATTTGCATCTTTATCAAAGTGTACTACTATTCTACTAGTCATTTGATACCCATATTGAGATAGTTGTGAAAAAATGTGTAACCGCCAATCTGTAAGCTGCGGCCATCTCGAATTTGAATATTTTTCAAAGTGTTCTTCTATTCTATTAGTCAAGCCCTCTCATTTGATACCCATATTGAGGTAGTTGTGAAACAATATTTAATTTGACATTTTGTAGCTACGGCCATCTTGGATTTACAATGGTACATAATTTATTAAATTGTATTATCATCAAAATTAAATGTGTGTACCAAATTTCAGATCAATCTGTCAATAGGAAGGGGTCAAACTTCAATTACTAAATTTGACCCAAAAAAACTGTTATTTTTAACACCTCGACACATGTTTTAATCACCAAGCGATCATCTTCAAGAGGTTTAGTGTTGGGATAAAACTCCAATAATATTTATAACTACACCAGAGGTTCCAAATGGTGCATTACAAGTACTAACAAACCAATAAAAAATTGAATATAATTATTTTGAAATAAGCAAACTCGGCAGCAGGACTACTCGAACTCAAAACCAGGTAATCGAAGCTATATTGAAAAGTTTTTCGGTTTTATAAACTATTTTTCATGATGATTTTCTACCACATAGTAACGGCTACATCCATCAATTTATATTTTGTGAAAATCTCACAAAGTGTTACCTAAATACTTTATCATGGATTTCCAGTTAGTATCATCCAATTCCAGCATATATAAATATTTAGTGGTTATTATATAGGATTAGTGAATTACGAAAAGAATTTGATTTTTTTTTGTATTTCTGGTGTATAACTTTGACGCGAGGTAGTTTGAGAATAATTTACATTTACATATATCAATTCTTTCAATTTGATTCTTATTCTATGTTTAATTGATTATGACTGATTGATTCATTTGTGTATAAATTCGAATCATAATCTGATTATTTATTTTTTGTTTCAGCTTTTATTGGGTGTTACATCATCCAACATTCAGACAGTGTTACTCAAGCATTTGCACTACATGTCAGCACTTCTTAGCTCCTATCCAAATGTAACAAAACAGTTGATTAAACAACTTATTCACTTATGGGGTACTGCAGACGATACTGTTCGAGTGCTGGCATTTTTCTGTATTTTACGAATAACGAACAGTCAGCAAGTTACTGTATTGGATACAGTTTTGAAATCAATGTACATGACATACGTGAAAAATTGCAAATTTGTTAGCTTCAAAGGTCTACCTGTTATCAATTTCATGAAACGGTCTTTGGTTGAAATGTATGCTTTGGATACAAATTTTTCTTATCAACATGTTTTTTTGTATATTCGACAGCTAGCCATTCATCTGAGGAATGCCATAACTGTAAATAAAATTGAAAATATTCAGAGTGTTTATAACTGGCAATTTATAAATTCTCTCAAATTATGGGCTAACTTGCTCTCAGTCACATATAATAAAAAGACAATGCAATCATTGGTATACCCCCTTGTACAGATTTGCCTAGGTACAATCAAGTTGGTACCTACCCCACAATATTATCCCTTGAGGTTTCAGGTCACACAGATTTTGATGGACCTGGGAAAGGAAACTGGCATATTCATTCCAGTCCTACCTTTTCTGCTTGAGGTAAGATAATATATGTAATTTGTTTTTATATAATTAACTTGGATAAAAGAAAATTATCATTTATGGCCAGTAGATGTGCATATAGGGTGTTTATGGTGCTACGGTCATAATTTGAGATGAAATAAGGTCTTGAAAATCTGAACAGATAACCTTAATATTAGATGTATAGCTCAGCCACAAAAAAATGTCATCTGTATATCATCATCTAGTTAGTTCCTTCAATCGATTCAAAGATCTTATGTGCCTAAAGACTCATTCAGGTGTGATGGAATAAACTGAAAATTAGTGATTCCTTTAGTGATATGTCAATGGAATTATTTATGGAGAAGTGCTCCAAAATCCTGCTGCGGCAGTCAGACTTGACTGCTATATTCCAAATTGACAAAGTTTCATTTTCCATCTGTGTTTATTTGTTTATCTGAATTTGCCGTTCACATTATGAATTTCAACCGGAATATATATTTCAAAGACACATCAAGACAACAACCTTGAGAATCATAAATAATCAGCATCTGTTCACATTTGATGCGAGCAAGAATATTTGAACTATTCATACTAAAATTACCTCCCAATGTTGCCGGATCAATCTCACTATCACAAGCTTCTCCAAATTTGGCAAATTTTTTGTTATTTATAAAGAAATGATATTAAGATTTTCTATTTCTCACAACCTGTGAAATTAAAATATGGCTCTATAAACACCCTTTTATTGTTCGAATATCTTTTTCAAAACTTTCTATCTTCAAAGAAGTTCACATAATTTTAAAGTATCACATACAGTGATCTTTTAGTTGAGTATGTTTTATAATTCATAATTGAATGATTTCTAAAAATGACACATATTTTTTCAATTTTTTCAATCAGGTTAACGGCTATCCAGTTTTTATTATTTTCGTCTAGTATAACATGTGTAACTATGGGGAAATTTGTAAAAACTGGTTATGTGAAACTTGTGTAAACATTATTTTTTGAATATTGAACAAAATTCATTTTTTGTTGAGGAAAACCAGTTTTTTATCGACCTTTTTTGGATATTTTCAACTTCCACAATCTGAAAAATATGAAAATTATAATGGAGAACTTTATATAGATGTAGAAAGGGCAAACGATTTAGTTTACCACGTAAAATCGAAAGTATTTTTCACAAAGAAAAATTTTCTGTTCATCTGTAACTTGTATTTAACAATTTTACCTAGAGAAAAAATAGCAAAAGAATGACTGCATATATTTTTAAATTTTTTGTCCATTTCTGAAGATAAAGGCAGATTTTGGCCTCAGAAACGTTAAGATAAGTGTTGTATTATTTCTTAGCAATTTTTTATAGGCAAAATTGTTAAATACAACAAGTTACAGATAAATAGAACATTTTTCTTTGTGACAAATACTTTTATTTTTCTGGGTAAAATAAATTTGCCTTTTCTACACCCATTCTTCATTATATATTTTATATTTTTCAAATTGTGGAAGGTGAAAAGACACAAAAAAAGGTCGATAAATAACATTATTTTTATTCTTAATTATACGCAGTTGTATATTCTGGTAAAAGAGTCCTTTATTTTCAATTTCATATATTTTTTCAGGTTTTAACCAGTTATGATTTCAATAAAAAGCACCAAAAAGTATCTATGAAACCTTTACATTTCACATGCCTACTGAGAGTTTCAAAATCTCAACTACAGGAAAATGGATTCAAAGATATGATAATCGATGTAATTTATGGACAGTTACTGGAATACCTCAGTTCTCAGTCACATACCTTGGGATTTCCAGATCTCGGCCTTATTTGCATCATACAGGTATGTATAAATTTTCGAATGTAATGCATTTTTAGCTTCACTTTGTTTCAGATCAAGCAATTTCTTAAAACATGCAAGAATTCTAATTACACTAGGAAAATGAAGCAAGTCATTGAAAAAATTGAACAGAATTCACAGTTCATAGAAAATGAGAGGGCAAAATTGACAATTAATATTACAGACTTTAAACAAATTGAAGGATTTGAAACCCAAATAAAAAATAAAGGAACTCCACTATCTGTATATTTTGAATCCTGGAATAAACTCAAGACAATTAAGAGAAATAAACAATTAACAGATAATGAAGGCTTAGCTGATTATAATCTCCCAACAATTAAAACAGTTAAGAATAACGTAGTAAAGAAAAAAGAAGGTCAGGTTGACTTATTCCCTAGTGATTCTGAAGATGATGAGGACGTTGGTAAACGGAAACGAGGAAAAAGAGGAGGGAAAAAATTCGTTAAAAATATCTCTAACGAAAATAATACTATTATAGATAAAGACAAACAGGATATTGTAGAAGACATTCAAATGGATGAATGGTGATGAGTGGATATAGGATTTGAATATATGTTCTGAATATAAATGCGTTTTTAATATAACTTCATCGAAAAAGCTACTTTCCCCAGCAGACCTGAAAACAGATACCAATACATCATGTCCAATTCACATACTCCACAACTGTACTCATGTTATAATCTTCACAAGCATCATCTTGTCAGACAAGTATTATCTTTTCTAACTCTCCTAGAAGAATTAATCTTGTCAGACAAGTATTATCTTTTCTAACTCTCCTAGAAGAATTAATTACTATATGAGTTGAAACTGAGTGCAAATCGATTTTTGGCTCACGATCTCTTAAAAAAATAATTGGGAAACTTGATTAGATATCAGATATCATATAATTAACAGATGAGTTTGTCATATTACTTGAACAGTTGCACTATCCTAAGTTTGTCTTCCTAACTAAATACACTTGAAGTATCTCTTTACAAAATAACAAATTTTTAAAGAAAATTTATTTGAAGAGTACTTATTTGTTCCACATTTTATTTTATATAGATAAGATACACTTCTTTTATATTATTTTAACATAGCCCAAAAACGTGTGTCAAGAGGAATATGTTTTAAATAAACGTATCTCTCTCTTACAGCATCATTGTATGAAATTCCCTAATTTCTGATAAATAAATACCAATTCTCATCATTGTACAGTATAAACATTTTAATATTCGCCTTCCACCTAATTCGAAACTGGTTTCCTTCAATGTTACAAATTTATTCCCAAGCATTCCTTCAGAAGATTGTTTACACACTCATAGTTGAAAGACTATTCAAAAATCATAAATTCATTATGATATCCTGTCACTATTGTCAGTATGTCTAGACTAAAATTATTTTGAATTCAATAACAATATATAATAACAAAGAAGGGCTCATAATGGGGAACCCTTTCCTTGCTTAAATTTTCATGGACAACTTCGAAAAAACTATTCAGCTACAATAAATTTTCCAAAAATGTATTTATTGGTATAGGTATGTTGACGATGTTATATCCTGCCTCACAAGAACACCAACAATGACAGTCATTTTTTCAAAACATCAATTCTATTTCCGTCAATAAAATTTACAATAGAACTGGAAACTAATAATTTGAAAAATTTTCAAGGCCTCCCAATCACAAAAATAAACTGACAAAAGTTTTGAACTATGTTTGCCACCTTTTAGAGAAAAACCATGATTTGAATATGGACTATGATAATTACAAGCCCAATACTGCTGTTGTCCAGTAGTGCCCATTTTCATGTTGGATCAACTTTTTGTGACTCCATATAAATGTTAATAATATTATCCAGAAAGTATTTTCTATTTCTCCAATAAATTGATACATATTTGTACTTCTGAAATTTATTTGGTGTATATTCATAAATGGAATTGAGTATTTCAAAAATCATTTCAATATTGCTTTCAGGAGGTCTATATAAACAAATAATATGTATCGATAATCTCCACATAACACCAATGAACAATCGACAATACTCTTCATACTGAAATATTTTATATCAGTAATTTCTCTACATTTTGTATTATTTTTAACAATGCATAAACTTACTGACTATCTTTTTTCTCAGTTGTGCAAAAACATATATAACTAAACTACCATATAATTGAAAAGCACAAGAACTGTTCAGTTTATACTCATTTTTAACAGAAGGCAGAAGCCTTCAGTTTATGGTAGCTGAAAAAATTAAATGGAACTAGCAGATACTTGTTGATAATCCATATTAAAACGTATCAATACAGTTTACTGTATGATTTTTACCATGAAAGTTTCACAAAATCGAGACAAGTGTTTTACTACACAATAGGTTTTACACACAAGCAGGAGTGATGCTTGAGAAAGCTATTGTATGGCAAACCATTTGTTATGGTTTTAAATCTTTTGTAGTAAAAATCTATTAAATACAGTAACCATTCACTCTCATAAAATGTCAGAATATTAGTAGAAAAGAAATAGACAGTTTTATTTTCATTACCTACTTAAATAATATTGATGATGAATTTTACTAGTTCACACTTACATTGTTTAATGTGATATAGGGCAGATGCACCGTTTATAGCCACTTTAAGAAATTTGGTGTCGTCGATAAAAGCTAAACCATTAATTACATGTCAATTTTTCACTTTTATCACATTAAAGGAAACTGTAAATGTTGTTGATTTTGAAAGACTGGCATAATAATATGGTATACGGGTTAGAAAGAGATTTAATTCTAGTAGAATACAATTTCGCCAGTTGTGGCCACCTTTTTACCAATTCTGGCCAGGAAGAGATCCGGTTGTGGCCACTGAGTGTTCAAAGACCGAGCCATAGGATGATCGGTACCTATATAATAATCATTTTATACATATTTTATTAAAAATCATAAGTAAAATGCAGAGTTAAGTGTGATAATATTCAATTTTTACTTTGAAAACAACAAAAATAACAAACAGATACATATACCTAATAAAGAAATTATTATAGGAATTGCTTCATTTCAGGAACTGACAAAGCCCCTCTTGTATTCATGATATTAGGCTCATTTATTTTCAGAATAATATCCTTCCTTTCATATCAGAGGAGGTCCGCTGGATGATTTATCCCACTTTTTTGCATTGCACAGCAGTAATATTCTCCATTATTATCCTTGTCAACAATTTTAGCGGGATAAAAGTTGTTATCATATTTGAGAATAACAAATGAATTTACACTGAAAACTAAGTCATTAGTAGATTTTTGTTATCTGTTAACATCTTTGGTACTTTTATCATGCTCTCGTTCACAATGACTTCCTCTAGAGCTAATGTTGTTAGAAATATCTTTTTCCGAAACATTTTCTTTTGTAGTAGTCATCTTAACAATATTTTCTTTACGTTTCTTTTTAATAGTCTTCTGTTGACCTGTTTTTTTTTAACAGCAGTATTTTCTTTACAGCTGTTCGTTTTGGCTTCTAAAATTTCAATCCATTTATTTGAAGTAACCACCGATGGAAGACTAATCCTAGCCTTTTTCGCGTTTTTAGGGGTCGTATTTTCGTCAGGCCATGTTTGAACTTCTTTAAGGACTTCACTAACTGTTCGTTTCTTCAATAACCTTGTATCTTCATCGACTTCTGTTGTCGTTGTAATGACTTCACCACTAGTTCTCGGACCTGGCTTAGTAGTAATATTCTGGAGGATATTAATTCTTAATTCGTCGGAAGGTTTTATTGTATTCTCTACTTCGATGTTTGATTTTTCGCGGATCTTTATGTCGTTATCAATATTTTCTTCTACGTTGTACATCTTTCCTTTCATGTTTGTTTGCTTTTCGAATGTGTTTTGTTCTTCTATGCTTATCTCGATGCTTGCTGTTCCTTAATGTCTATGTGTACCTCAGTATCGGTGCCTGTTTGTTTTTCCGTGCATGTGCCATACTCAATGCCTTTCTGTTCTTCGATATCTTTTTGTTCCTCAATATCCTTTTCATCCTCGGTGTTCGTCTGATTCTCGATGACCTTCTGATCCCGGTCTGTTCTTCGATGACTTTCTGTACCCCGATATCTATCTGTTCCTCAGTGGCTTCTGGTTTTTCCGTAAATAGTTGCTCGATGCCTATCTGCTCATCAACGTCTATCGTCTCATAGTAGATCCCTTTCTGCGTTTATCATTTCTACAGCATCCAGCGGCTCATTTGCGTGTTTCTCAGAATTCGCATAATCTTTGACTGATTGCCATAAATTATATAGTTCTAAAAATCGCTCTTCTCCTTGCCAATGAGAATAATTTTTGACGTAGGACTTCTTGAAATCTTGCAATACAAGGGGATCAATGTGTTCCTCTAGAAATTTAAAATGAGCTAGTTTGTCATTTTTCACAGGTGTTGTCGGAACGGTGTTTTGTTCTTCATTTGGTAAATCCTTCTTAATGCAATTTTCGTATTTTGGAGCATCTTCATCAAATGGATAAAGTCCACATGTTCTAAATCCCGAAATTATAGTTTGAGAGAAATCTTGTTGAGTAAGGATTGAGTTCAATGAAATAGGTATATCCTTTTTCTGGGTAGCTCTACCTTCATGATCATATAGCCATTGTAGAGTCCAGAAAAAAAAACTACTCATTTAACTCCGGTTCTCTCAGTTCAATGGAAATTGTCAAATGAGTATCTACTGTTCGTACAGCAATTACTGCAAACCCCAACAACAATACGATTTATCGGCAAAAACTTTTTTACTTTTTATTGACGTTAGTACATTGGCAAAAATTGACTACACAATACTCTTCAAAAATTACAGAAGCAAAATCTTGTTCAATCTTATGACCAAGTCTTTAAAGGGTGGCTAGTGGAAGGAATAATTGAGATCCGAACATGACAAAAGCGTCATTCATTATCTGCCTCACAGACCAGTCATAAAAGAAAATAGCCTTACAACAAAAATCCGGCATGTGTTTGATGCGTCTGCTCATGAAAAAGATAAGCCTTCTTTGAATGATTGTTTGGAAAAAGGTCAAAATTACATCGAATTGATTCCGTCAATTTTACTTAAATTTTAGACCAGTCAAGTTTTTGAAAAGCATTTTCTAGACCAACGAAACATCTACCGTTGTCACTATAAATTGTCTTAGGCCGACCTCTGCGAGCAATGAAACGTCACAAATCCAACATAAAAGCATTAGTTGACAACGAAGTAGTTAGTTCGAGGTGTACCGCACGATAAACGGCACAAGTGAATAGACAAATGTAAGCTTTGTCTCCGTTTCTCAAAAACAAAAGTCCAGCAAAGTCGATACCTGTTATTTCAAACACATTGGCATCGCGAACTCAATCGATTGGTAATGGTGGGGAGTTAACAGTAAACTTTTTTGCATTGAATTTCCTACACGTGAAGCATTCAACAATTACAGATCGAACGGCACGACGTCCACCTAGTACCCAATACCGCTCTCGAAGAATGCTCAACAATCCTTGAGTTCCTACATGACAAGACCGTACGTGCTCCTGAAAAATGATTTGATGAACTGTAGAATGTTTAGATCCTGGATCCCACATCAATTCCAATTCTG